GCTGAACCCAGAGAAAAAAGGTCCAGCTGAGGATGAAAACAATGAGACCAAAACTCGCTTGGTCCTTCAGAAATCAGCTGCTGAAGATTGGGTTTGGTTCACTTCCAGATGTGCTACATTATTTGCTCTTTCTGTTTTTTAATAGGCCTTGAATCGGGGCATCGCTGCTGTCAAGGAAGATGCTGTGGAGATGCTGGCCAGCTATGGGCTGGCATACTCCCTGATGAAGTTCTTCACGGGTCCGATGAGTGACTTCAAAAATGTAGGTCTGGTGTTTGTGAACAGCAAGCGAGACAGGACCAAAGCAGTTTTGTGCATGGTTGTGGCTGGCGCTGTAGCTGCTGTATTTCATACCTTAATAGGTAAGGTCACTTCATGTCTAATTAATGTCTTTTAATTTGCTTCCTTCGCCTGTTTTTCAAACTGATTAATCTGTAGGTTTAAGATTTCATTTTTAAGGGCAACAGAAGATGCAAAAGAGATTAAATCCCTTGGGCTGGTGTCACACCCATCCACACAATTTGTATTACTTTTTAAACAGGTTAAGTGGCAGATTCCACCCACATGGCTCTAGTGCCCAGCAGCAAAACATGCTGCTGCTCTCTTTCAATCAGGCGTGTGAACAAAACTTTGGAAAGGTTGACAAGTTGCATGAAGCTGATAGTTCAGTCTTACTGTTAGGGATCAACTAGCAGTATTGTCCTGAATGGGTTTAGGTTTTCTTGGTAGGACTGTTTGTCAGAACTCACTGGCATTGTTCATGTACTCTCTCTGTACCTATCCCTTTGCTATTTATCTCACAGTACAAAACCCTAAGCAAGTAGGTGCCAGCATCCTCATTGAAATATCAGTATTACTCTCTACTAGTGCTAGTCATAACCCACTTCTGTTGAATAGTTGATCTGTAAGAGAAATAATTACTAAAAGCACTTTACGCCAAACTGAGACCAGCGCCCTGAGTGTACTCTGAAACAAAGAAAATACACAACCAGATATGAACTGAGCATAAAAAGTAAGACAGCTGCAGGATTTGCCAGATTCTGAGACCTTGGAGAAATGGGATATCAACCCAAGCATCAGCCACAGCAATACAAAGCCATGTGACCTGGAAGACTTTAACTTCATCCTCTCCAAGAAATGCACCAGATACTCGGCACCTTCTGGTTCATGCTACAGAGCCTCTGGACCTCAACACAGAGGAACAGGAGACACTGGAGGAAGAAGCAGAGAACATATTTCATTCAACAGGTACAATATTAAAAGCTGAGAGGTCTAAGGGATGGGAGGAGGGAGGTAATGCAACAGCCTATGGAAGCATGTGTTGGTTGATAGGAAGTAGGGTTGGATTGGTTAAGCAGCAGGAGGGGGTCATTCCACTGCAGAAAGATGGAACATGTGTGTGTGATGGTGATAGCTGGAATTGCTGTGAAGTTACATAGTGCCTGGAAGTGAGGCACCATTTATTATCAGGCTGTTAGTATCTCAAGAGCAGGATAGACTATTTCAGTTCCTGCCCAAGTAGGTATAAGACCCATCTGGTAAATATGAATGCCTCCTGCTCTTACCCTTTAACAGGCTGCCAGCTATATTCACCAGCTTTATGTGCCTCCCAAGCAGTCCAGTTTGTTTGACCATCATGTCTTCTATTCCACCAGTGATACAGGAGCCCTGTGCTGTTAACCTTTATGTTTCAGTCATAATAAATGCTTACAGTAACAGCTCACTTGCCATGGCCAGGGATAAGCTGTTGCTAATTTTATAAGCTGAATTCATACATTTGAATTAATTTAATGTGCTGATTTTCATTGGTCAGTTCCTCAATATGTTTACAGTTGAGCCTGCATTACTGAGTCAGTATTATAAACTTTGGGCCATTTGTACCTTTGGCTCTCATATTTCTTTGCTTGGAATGTTTCCTCAGCCCCCAGAGCTGCTCTTCTAGTTGCTCACTTGTTTTCCTGTCAGTGCTGGTCAAAGTTTTTGGCTTTGCCAGCTGGATAAAGAAATATTTTGTAGTCATCCAATATTTTATTTTAAGCTATGATAGATTTTAAGAGAATTCAGAGAACAGCTATTAAGTTTCCAGGTGAAAGACATAGCTGGATTTTCTGTGTGGGACTTCTTATTGAAGGGAGCTGTTCAGGGCAAGCATTGGAAAACATGCCAGATAAGAATCTTGCCTTTGCTGTAAAGTAGAGCCCTGCTGAGTTCAGAACCTCTAAAATGCCCTCTCTGCAGATATTGGGGAAAGAAAGAGAAAAGAAGGCTGTACTTACCATGCTTTAAAGTCCCGTATAAAGGGCTTCACACAGTCTTTCAGCTGCTTATGGTGGCAGACTGCAAAATATTTTTTAGTATTTTAACTTGTCTATGCCTGAAAATATGCAAAGGCCACAGCAGAGACTGGCAGAGTGCCTGACAGAATGGAGTTAGTCAGATTCCAGCACCAATTGCCTGGGTGATGTTGCCAAGTTTTATGTTCCAAGTTTTCTCTGAACCTGTTTCAAGTCCTGATTATTCTTCTCTGACCCACAGATGCACAACCTGCCTAGCAGGAGGAAGCGAAGGAGCCCAGTGACAGACAAGCAGCCTCCTAGGATGTGCAAGCCTATCACAGGCTATCTACAGAGGACCCAAATACAATGCTCGGCAGATGAAAAAGAGAAACAAACAGTGCTCAGGGGACTGAATTTCTTCCACAAGCCATGTCTGTGGGGCTAAGGAAGATGACATGACTGTCTGCCATGGACTGTTGAAGCCCAGGAAGGAACACAGAATAAAAAAGCCCAGTGAAATAAGGAGGAGTACTGAAATTTGGAAGGAAGAAAACAAGTGGTGGTAGAAACACAGTGACCACAATGAATCACCACATTTCCAGCTGTGATAGAGACTATTTGCAGTCTGCACACACAACTCCTCACAAACAGCAGGCTCTACATAGTTATAATATCAAAACAGACCATTTCTCCCACCTGACTCATGCTTAATTGCTTCAGCACCAGCTCCCCACTACTGCTTCCCCACTGCAGCTCATGCAGTCCTCTGTGGGAGTGACTGCCTGAGCCAAAGCACTCCAACTCGCAGCTCTGGGTCCCTCAGTCATCATCACACCACATTCCCATGAATATCCGCAAAGTCCTCACCAACAGTTCCTATCACTCCCCTGTACAGGTGGCAGTAAGAACAAAGAAACAAGTTGACCTTGACCAAAGGAATTTGAAACCATATTCTCATCCCACTTAACAATACTGCTGCAGATCTTGGTCAGGACAGTACTTCTGAATCTGCTGTTTCATTTGTGATCTGGAAGTAGAAGATAGTATGCTGCCTTCCTGCCCTTGTGCTGCTTTGAGGGCAGCTCCTATCACCAGTTAGGGTTTCCTGGTGGGAAGCTTGCTGTGTAGCCAGGCTCTAAAGCATCTTGTTATTTCAGAGATTAGCTTTTGGTGGGAATATTTGGTTGTAAGAGAAGGGATTCAACACTCTAAGCCTGTCTGTGCATATTTTTGACATCTTACTAAATTGCCAGCTTGACAGAGGAAAGAAATCGTTTATATAACATTATGCTAACATGATGCAATTGTTGGTGTTGCTGGTAAGCCCTCCGTACTGAGTCCTTCTAACGCTAGTGTCGTGAAAGACATGCGTATGTTTTTGGCAATAAAACAGCATTGTTCAGCCTTTCACTAATTTACTGAGAAATAGTGTACTGAGAAAGATTATTTCCTTTTGTTTATTAGTAATAACTTTCCACAGCTCTCTGAGGTTCTGGAAGTGACAAGGCAGAAGTGACTTTGGGGAAAAATCCTCTTTGCTTAGATAAACATTCTTGCCTGGTGCCAACTACACCTGATTAAAATCTTTAGTAACCAGGTGAACCAATAGCAGGCTGGATGGTCAACAGTGGTCTGAGAGTGATTTACTAGTTTATTACTGACAAGCTAGCGGGCATGGGCCAGTCCCTGCACAGGCTGCACAGAGGAAAACTTGAGCAGTTGCAAGCAATTCAGCTGATTCTTTTGAACTTCCCACCTGCATGGTCACTGCATTACATGAAAGATCTGCGTAACAAGCAAGACATAGGTGTAATCCCACCCCTTTCAGAGTGACACTGTTGGAATTTTCTAGAGATCAGAAATAACAGTGTCGTTTATGATAACCTGAGGTTTTTTTGCAGTCAGTCTTGTTCCAGTATGCCCACTGTAATGGCCTGTACTAAACATTTTGCTCTGAAAAGGATGATAGCACAGGAACACAAAGCAGAATATAATCCAGGCTTGCTTTTTTTCTTTCTTTCTGAAAGATGATGAAATGTCATTCATTAAAAATGTGTCTGTCTTCAGCATCTTCAGGTGGCCGTTGCTAAAGCAACAACATGCTTCCCCAGCTGACGCTGCCCCTTCTCCCACAGCAGGAGCACTTCTTTATCAGCAAGGTATTCAGGAAAAAGAAAGAAGGAAGGAAGACTATGATCAAAGCATTTGTGGATTTTAGGATAGCAATAATTGAGTTTGAGTTACAACAGGCTAATTTTGAGACTTTCGAGATGTTGCCCTTCCTAAAGCTATTTCAGAGACCAACAGTCATAGATAGATTTGTGAAAATCAACTAATGCAATTTTGGAACTAGAGCTGAGCACAGAAAAAGATGGTTGCAGACTGCCCTGAGATGCTCCTAATATGGTTTGGTTTGTTTGGGGGTTTTTTAGTTCATTTATTACTATAAACAAAAAAAATCACAACACTAATCAAAGACAAAGGAATCATATGTACCCTGTGCCATCTCCGAATGAAGATTTGCCATTCAATTTTTTATTTTTGTATTTTTATAAATAGCATTTATCTATCTGCCCAAATCACTCAGCTGAACAAACTCCTGACCAGCATCAGTTTTGGCCATGTGAGCCATCTTTCTTACCAACAGCAGAATAGATTTTACTTCTCAAGTCTCCAAGTTCATTTTTTAACTGGCAGTGAAGTATGAAATGGAATGCATCAAAAGAGAACACACTTTAACCCCAAAACATTTTTGGATTTTTTTTTTCCCACTCTAGCAAAGCTAATATTGACATATGTCACTGTCTGGAAGTAGATGGTATCACTTCCTATGAGGGTTTCTATTTGTTTTCTTTATGATGTAAGTATAACATGCTGGGTAGTAGACAACTCCAAAATGACTACGGTACAGCTATTTATTGAGACTGCTGGCATTATTAAGATTGTGTTCAGTTGTTTTAAGAATGTCTGGCATTTATGGTAGTAATCATCTTGTTAAAAGAACTCAGTGTAGAGAAGGGGAGATCCAATTAGGTATGCAGTTCTCAGTGTCATTTCTTAAGCTTCTGTGTCTTAAAATTCAACTGAAAAAGTCAAAAGCAAGAATTCCTGCTTAGATTTTGTAGCAAAACTAAGCCATAGACATATCAAAATATATGAGGTATTAGAGGAGTGCAAACAGGCAGCTTGTCTTGGGGTTGGACTACTCTGTTTTGGTTGAAATGATGCAAGGAATGAGAAGAGCCATCTGCTTTAGATTCATGTGATACTCTTCAGCTCTGTTGTCTGTGTTATTAATTTTGTATTATGCTTCACAATAAGTTTGTAAGGTTGGCCAAGGTTAAATTCTAATTGCATCAGCAATTGCTTTATTCATAGGTCAGAGACACATGCCTGTATATTTGTTAGTAAATCTCACTTGCTGAGTCCTTCTTTGTGAGGATGGAAATGTTTGTGGACATCAGCAGAAGTGATTGTGTGCTTTCACTGCTATGTGGAAAAGTTGACTATTTTAAAACTAGCTATTAAGCTCTCCCATTACAATTTTAAAATCAAAATCACGTTAAAAAGTGCAGTTAAGAGTTTTGGGGTTTTTTGGGGTTTGTTTTTTTTTCTCTGGATAGGGGAGAGAAAAAAGAATCTTAAAGCAGGTGAGGCACTGGCACAGGCTGCCCAAGGAAGTTGTGAATTCTCCATCCCTGGCAGTGTTCAAGGCCAGGTTGGACAGGGCCTCAAGCAACCTGGTCTAGTGGAAGGTGTCCCTGCCTGTAGCAGGGGGTTGGAACTAGGTGATCTTAAGGTCACTTCCAGCCAAAACAATTCTGTGATTCTAGGATTCTTACAGAGCACAGTGCTGATATCCTTAGAAATCTTAAAAACGTGGTGCTGTGGGCTGTGGTGGTACAAGTCCCTTGAGAGCGCTCTGCCAATAAACTACAACCCTCTGGTGAACTGTCTGTTCCTAGAAGTGAGAGTAGTTCAACCTCTGACCCCTCTGATTCTGTGTGTTTCTTGGTTTCCTGCAGCAGTTTTTAAGCTTTTGTGCAGGAGAAGTATAAAGCAACTTCAACAGAACCTAAGAATCAGATGGATGAATCTAACCCTCACAGCAGCCTTCCAAACTTCTTCATTCAAATAAGTCAATTCAGAAACATCCACATACTGCCCTGCCATAAAAGCAGCTTTGTATAGGGAGTTGCCACACAAAAATCCATGGATAACAGAGTTTTCAAAATAATGAGAGAAAATCTGTATATGGTTATTCATGCAAAAATAAAAAAGGGCTGTTCTTGATGTGTGGCTGGACTGCAACAAGCACATCAACACTTCAAGAACTAAGCTAGCCTCCCTGAACGGAGGAAAGGTTGGAGTCCCGGTTTAAAGTTCTTCCCCAACCCCATTCAAAAGGAAACAAGGCTGGGAGTGCCTCAGGAGGATGGCTGAGCAACTTGGGAATTTCTGGGTGAACTGGGAGACTGCGAGTCTAACAGCCATAGTTCAGATAAAAGACATATAGATAAGGACCAGCATAGGGAAAGGTGGAGTTTTTAACATTTTAGCATCTTTTGGGTAATCCTGGATATCTGGAATGAGGCTCATGCCTGTTCCCAGGGCTGTCAAACCATCTCCTTCTATTTTACTACCTTGTTTACACTGTCTTGTTTGGACTGAAAAAGTCTTTTCAGTCCTGTTAACCATGCTATATCTCTAAGCCATCACAAAACAATGATGACTTAAACTCATCTTTAATTGCTTCCAAACACTTGTTTATGAGTTAGAGTTTTAGGCTAAAAAGATTGAATTGGGCAACTAATGTTAGCATTTTGTCAGTCTGATAATGTGACCTGCATGCATGAAAACGATAACTTTCCTGAAATACCCTATATGAAGGTCTGTACAATAATTGTTACATATGTAAAGTCAGATAGATGTCAACATTTGAAATAATTAGAAAAGACACAAGTGGGAGAGGACTGAGGTAAGGTTCCCTATTCACAAGTAATTCTGCCATTACTTGTGTTGGAGTGTTGACTTTACAACCTAATTATTCTTTTAATAGCTATTGCAAGTGCATAGAGGAAACTAAGTAATGATATGCAGATCTAAAACATAGTTTATAAAAGATTTGGATTATTTTTAACTGTGCATGTAAGTTCCCATAGTTCAGAGACTGCAGTCATAGATAGTTCTTCATTATTCCTGGTCACTGGGAGGACTCTGGGGTTATTAAAACAGCTGGATAACATCAGTACTAACAGAGGTATAAGGAGTTCTTCAGAGAGCTGTGTGGTGAGTCCCTGAATCTGTGCTGTATTTAACCCAATGCCTTGGTAAGAGAGACCTGGCAAGAGGTGTGTTGCCCAACAGTAAAAATTCTCATCTTGGCTTGAAACAGGACAGTGAAATAAAATACTGGCAGTCGGAAGTGGCAATCCCCTGACTTCCAGTGGTTCCCTCTTCTGACTGTGGCTTCTGAGCTGCGGGCTCTGGATAAAGAAGGAAACTAAGGCTGGTCAGGGCCGCCCAGAGACTGTACAGTGTAGGGTGTAGTGCCCTGACAGGTCCCAGCAGAGGTGATCATTAGGCAGAGTAAGGGAGAGGCATAATGAATGTGATTTTTGCATGCCTTTGCAATTCATAGTATCCTTCTACAGCTTTGGGCAGCTTTACAGGTAATGTCATGTGAATGCAGTGCCAGTAGATGGTTTTGGTATTTTAAGTTACATGAAATACACTGGTGAATGCCTGGTGAAAACAGCTTTTCTAACAAAGAACCTTGAGTTAATGAAAGACCAGTAGATTTTCTGGAGTACCAGTGTGCTAATTTAGCAAACAGATGTGGCGCTTAATATACCCATGTCCCAACCCAGCCATTTGTCATCACTCCTCTGCCAAAGGTTACTTGAAAAAGAACTGTGAGAGCACTCCTTAGTCATAAACAGCAGCTGGTGAGATTGTAATATCCTGAAGCCCCTGCAGCTGTTTCCTAAGTAGATGCATGTCCTAGGCATTGCAGTCTTTCAGGTACTTCTGAGTATCTCACCCAGAGCCCATATGTAACCTTTATTATTCATTTCTCTTCTTGTGTCTCTACAGCATATAGTGATTTGGGGTATTACATTATTAATAAGCTGCACCATGTGGATGAATCAGTGGGAAGTAAAACTCGGAGGGCCTTCCTTTATCTTGCTGCCTTCCCTTTTATGGATGCCATGGTGAGTGCCTGATTCAGAACTGAATTTTAATATTCATGTTACTTTTTAGTTTGTTGACCTTAGTTCATAAAGTCTGTTACCTCGTGGGAAGCTGGAGGTGGGCAGCAGGAAGGTGTGTCCTTTGCAAAGAGTAGCCCTAGATATACCTGGACACGTTGTGTCCTGCTACCTGGAAAAAGCATCTGGTTGGATATGCAGAGATCATAACAAAAGTAAAAACCTCAGTTGCCTTGTTAGGGTTACTGTATGTGCATGCTGGAAAGCACTGATCAGATCACTTGCAGAGCTCACAGGCAGTAAGCTCAATATTTTTTCAAAGCACATTTGTTGAAAATAGATTTCTTATCATAATATTTAGAAGCACAGCTAAGTCCAGTTTATCTCAAATGCTTGAGAAAGAGAGCCACATGTGGGGTGGGCTGCTGCTTCCTGGATCACCAGGCTTACTGCTTGTGGCCTGCACAACACAAATATACAACAGCTGTCTTTAATGCCTTCTACTTCTGTGTAAAACTGATAAAAAACAGCCTTTTCACAGCACACTTCCACCACTTTCTCTACTACTTTGTCTGCTTGAAACAATCTCTGACCATAAAAAGAAGTTGGATCATTAAGTTTTCTCTTCCAGTATATATATACACACACACACAGGGTTTCCTATAACTCAGTGGGCCAATGAGTATTACACTTCAGAGGTGCATCCAGCTGGTGAATGATAATAAACATTTTTTCCCTTGCATTATTTAGTATGATAATCCATCTTGTGCAGCACCTGTTTTATAAAGAAGGAGCAATTTCTTGTTAGATCTGCTCAGAAATTTCTATAGTCTATAAAGTTATTCCCATTCTCTCTGTCAGCCCTGGTAATAAGGAAGTGAATGCAGCAGTGCTTTCTCTGCATTACTAGCTTAACATTTGCCCATGTTCACACCAAATACTGCTGGTAGAAAATAGCTTTACAAGTTGTTTGTGTACAGTGTAACAATCAGAAAACAGTATTCTGAGACCTGAAATCATTCACAAATATCATAATCATTTCCCAAACTCTCCTCTGTGGGTTTATTTTAGGCATGGACCCATGCTGGGATTCTGCTGAAACACAAGTACAGTTTCCTAGTGGGATGTGCCTCCATCTCAGATGTCATAGCTCAGGTAATGACTCCACTTAGCAATCATTGTTTCTGTTGTGTTACAGACTAGATGCTTTCCTAAGCAGGTACTCCCTTGCACAGAGACTGCCTTCTTTCTCTATCATGAACAACATGACAGAGGAAGTAATCTTGTGGTCTGTTGTCTGGCTGCTTGCTTGTCACGTGGAGGCTGTTTACTGACAGCTGTGGTTTAGGCTGGTCTCAATTGGCTGGATCAGGTCAGTCCCAAACCAATGTCAGGAGAAGGGAACCAGGATTCTTTGGGCTAGGGCTATGTCTTACAGCACCTCCACAGTCATGTCTCAGAATGGCTGAGAAACAAGATCTCCTCCCTGTACATTCTCCCACATGCATCACACAGCTGAACTGAAATCGTGAGTGGGGCTTGTAGGTGGGGAAGTGAATGAAGGCTTGATTCTCCAGTTCACCCGTCAGTTTTGCCCATGTTGTCTAATCCAGTGAAATGCAGTCATGTAAGCCATCTTCTGAGTGCCAGTATGGCACTGTTCTTGTTACTGGTCCAAAAAGGGAAGACTCAGAACTGCAGCAGAAGGGACCTGTGGTGATAGCCCCTGGGTGATGCAGAGGAGACCAAATGTTGTTTCAACTTTTATTTGTGAGGGAGGTATTAATTATCTTGTTGCTTTGTACTAGATACATCTAAAAACAACATTCATACGCATTGCTGCTGGCCGGTGTTGTAGCAGTTGAGAACCAATACACCACCCTCTTTTTAAAGCATATGTAAAAATATTACTAAGTGAAGAGTCCCAGCACCTGTAAAACAGTTGCTGTACTGCCCTATTACCAGCTGAATTGTGTAATGACTGGGTAAGAAAGAGGCTAATAACAGTATAGCATCAAAGGAAATATGAAGTCAGCAGCACTTAGTTCAGTTTTCCGTAGCATTCTCCTCCCACTAAATATGAGCAAACCGTAAACCAGGTTGAACCATTCAATCAGCTGCTATTCTATGTTTTGCAGGTCTGCCCCTCTACAATACTGGGCTAAATCCCTGAAGATAATACTAATTACTGTACATGACCTTAGCCCTCAGGATCTGCTCTTGTTCTTTGCAACCATGCAAAGTTTGCTGACCTTAGATGCATGTCGGGTCATATACAGCTAAAAACAGAAACAAATTCTTACTTTGGCCGTGGCACACATGCCCTTTCAACAGTGGTTGGTGAGTGGGGTGCCAGGACTGTGAAGAATAAGACACCTGTCATCTTCTCTCAACAAAATACCGCACAGAGCAAGAGCAAATCCAGAAGACAAGAAGTTGTGACTCTCCATACCCCAGAACTCTACACCTACATCCTCTCCCTGCACAAGCAATAGATGCACATGCAGTAGCTAATTCTCTTTGCCTAGCTTCACATACACACTTTTTGTGACTGACTTTGCTCCTGTTTACTGAAAAACAATTCTTTTATAGGGTTCAGAACAGCACTTTTGCAAACCCTCATAAACAGCATGGCCTGCCTAATAAATATTTGCACAGTGTGATTTTTCTTAAGTATTTCTTGAGCTTTAGCAAGGAAAGAGAGAGAACCTGCCTCTGAACAACGTGTTTTGTATTTCTTGTAACTCCCTGGAATGCCAGCATGTCCCAGCAGGGTTGTCCTTGATTCTGCTGCTCACAGCACCAAACACAGTTGGCTTTCCAGTTGTGCCCCCAATCCAGAGACATCTGGAATTTAACAGGCACACCATCAGCTCTGTACTTCATGAAGAGAATAATGTCATATTAATTCCTTTGCATTTTTTGGACTGAGAATTTAATCTTATGAGACTGAATTATGAGCTGTTCATTAGCTCAAAAGTTTCTATATCATTTACATCAGTGTGGTGCTCAGATAGCTGAAAAGAGAATAATGAAATACTGAAATTTCACTCAAAAAAGTAGAAAAGTAGGATGACGTGAGACTTCCTGCTTCTATCTGCTGAAGTGAATACTTCAACACACCTGGCTTTTTAATTGCCACTGCTTCCCACCCTGCAAAAAAAAAAAAAAGTAATGCTTAGAAGCTGACCCTAGAAGCATGTTTCCAGCCTCAGTGCATATCAGAATAGCACATTCTCCTGGGAAGCGTGACAGCCACATGCTTCCTGACAGACCTTGCCAGACTTGCATGCTACCCTATTTATGGCTCCTGGTCTGACACCTACCCATACCTTCAAGTACAGTTTAATAGAGCTTCTGTCTGATGTTAACTCTTCTTCTTCTCATTTGTATGACTAAATGCAGGGGGCCCTGACTAAAGTTTCAAATGCCACAAGCTCGAAGTCAGATAGATACTGTAGTCACACATGGTTGTTGGTTCAGATGGACTAGCTGCGAGTCAGAGAAGAGATAATGCTGGCCCTAAAGAAACACAGACAGATTACTAATCATTTATTTGTATGCCCTGCAGGTTGTTTTCGTAGCCATTTTGCTTCACAGTCACTTGGAGTGCAGGGAGCCTCTCTTGATCCCCATCTTGTCCTTATACATGGGAGCACTTGTCCGATGTACCACGTTATGCCTCGGATACTACAGGAACATACATGATGTCATTCCTGACAGAAGTGGGCCTGAAATGGGGGTATGTCTCAGTACTTTGCGCTTTATTGAATAATTTAAAATTTGCTCTTTATATTCTAATACTGTGTTAAAACCACAGTGCATGAAGCGCCTCCTCTCTCCATCCTGCAGGAGAAAACATTTTCACTTACAGAGGCATTGTAAAAACTATTCCAGAGACAGTGCACATGGAGCAATGCTTCCCATGGTATGGATGTGCTGCCTACTGAACACCTCTGTACTGAGCTGTAAGACAGTACATCATGAACTTCCCTTATTTCAGAGCAAAGAAAGTCTCAAAATTCCTCTTTTTCCTCGAATGTCATACTGGTTTTCACATCTTCATCTGGTAGCCAGAACAAATTATGCAGATAGGGACCTTATGCATTATTTATTGAGATCCATGACACAGCTTCCTTTGAATCAGTATTACTAACATGAGTGAAAATATTTTAGGCTCCTCATAAAAACTGTTGAAATTAATGTACCAAACTGATAATGGGTGTGAAAACCAAAAATCCTTTCTCTGTGCTTCGTTTCAGTTCTGCATGGTTTTTTTCAAACCCACTTCTGCTTATTTATTTTTTCCTATGTGTTGCAGGGAGAGGCTACAATAAGGAAGATGCTGAGTTTCTGGTGGCCTTTGGCGTTAATTTTGGCAACTCAGCGAATAAGTAGGCCCATTGTCAACCTTTTTGTTTCCCGGGACCTAGGCGGCAGTTCTGCAGCCACAGAGGTAAGAAAGTGCTCTCCATTACTGCAAATGATCACTGACATGGAGTTACCTCTGTGTTTCTCTTCTCAGCTGTGCTAACAAGAAAAAAGTTGTCTTAAGTACATTTTTGTTTAGTGCTCTCTCTATCATTGAAAAGAGGACTGCTTGAACTCTTACCATGAGTGTTTCTGCCGGGCCTAGTGGGACCTCACCCTCAACAAGACCAGTAGGACTTTTTCACAGGACAGTTCCAACATCCCAGGATTTCATGCTTTACATATTGGTACATATGCTCTGGAGCATTGAGGTCATGGAGATTTTAGGGCAGTCATCAGTACTCCCATGTTCCGCTGATTCCTATCATGTCTATATATGACTGTGCAAACTGATGTGAAACTATTGTTAGCAGTCAGTGCATCACACGGGATGGAGTGGAGACATAAGGAAGCACACTGATAAAAATATCTCTCCTGGCTGTAGTATGAAATGCACCCTGTTTCTCTTGAGGAATTTCAGATCACTCCAATAGTCTCCTACAGCTGATGGGAGCCGGACTTCTGATTGAAATGCAGAGCCTTCACCAGTGCTCACCATGAAGTGACCTATTCTCTTAAGAAGTTGAAGGACCTTTGCTGTCAGCTTTGGTGGAAGGATGTCTAGATCCGCATAGTCATTAGCAAATCTTTCATGTTTTTCTGTAGGAAAGACAAAGCTGTAAGATACTAAATAGAAAGGAAAATTCAAACAGCTGATGCCTAACAAACATTCTGTCAGCACTGCTAACTTGTCATACGCACATGCTGTGTTTCACTCACTCAGGAGTTGCCAGTGACTGCAAATAAACAGCTGTGCCCAGGTGTGACTGTGTGAGATCCAGGTATGGGGGGGGGGGGGGGGGGGAGCCGAGGGATATATCTTTAATGTACCTCTTGGACTGTAGTTGTGAAAGTGCAAAAGGGCCTAGTTTTAAATTGCAGGCAGTGAGTTGTTTCTCATTGTATAAATGGACATCTGGAAATATTTTTGTTGGCTTTCATTGGTGAGCACCAAAATGGGAGAACGTATTTTTTTGTCACCTGCCCTGGAGCAGCTTGGTGTCCTAAGTCAGTCTGTCACTGAGGCCTACTCTTCTGTAGTCTGTCTGTCTTAAACCTGTTTTACTTATAAATAGCCAAGTAAAAAATATATAAATTCAAATTATAACTTATGATCCAAAGCTACTGTGAGCTGTAAGGCATTCTGCTACTCAGGTATCTGTAGGTAAAATAACTGAGGAGCAGTGAGGGAGGGAGGTATTTGGCTGGCTGAGGGGCACATGCCAGCTCAAGTTAACTACTATCCTGAAGTATCAGAGTGATGGTGAAACAACAAAGCTGAGTAACACAGCTTCATGGCACAAAAGATTTCACAAGTTTAAAATGCCAGGCCAAATAATGGCCACTTGGACAGCCTTCTCGAAACAAAGAGCTTCCAGTCGCCTGCATGGTTTCTCACTGTATTAAGGTCAATTTGGTGATGACGTTAGTAGGAAGTGACAATCTATGTTAGTTTAACTGTTCTGCTCAAAGATTGGATGTTCATGTTTCCCTGTTTCTTTTCATAGGCAGTGGCAATTCTGACAGCTACGTATCCTGTGGGACACATGCCCTATGGCTGGCTGACAGAGATCAGAGCGGTATACCCTGCTTTTGACAAGGTGAGTGCCTACATTAGGGGTGTAATAAATACGTGTCATGTGGTTTCACATGTGTGATCCTCCTCTTTCCTTGTTACATTTTGATTTAAGGTTGGCTTCAGTGATGTCAGAGGGATTTCTGCCAAACAAATATGAAGAAAGTCAGTTCATGACTCCTTAATAAAGTGTAATAGATTCTTTAAAAAATAAACCAAACAAAGATTAAATAGGGCTGTATTAATGGATATCTATTGTCTTGTCTTGCTTCTCTTTACTTTTGCTTTTGGTACCTATTGTTCCTTGTCCTACTGATAAGATTTAAAATCCTAGTTAAAATTAAATTGGTTTAGGTGGCTTCAAGCTGTTGTCTGATTTATGATTTTAACCTTAGCTCTGTGTTACAAGGTATTGAGCTATCTTTTGACTAAATAGGTGATGTGTTTTTAAGGATTAAAAAAGTCCTCACTTATTCACTGTGATGTAGCTACTTAGCTAATGAAGTGATTTCTCACAAAGTGTCCGTCAGTGAGTAAGCAAGTTTACATCTCTGCTCCAGATTCTGTGGTATCTCTCAAGTGGGTTTAGGTTCATTTGCTTATGTTAACAGTTAGCAAAGGCTAAATGACTGACAGTAACACAGACAACATACATTATTTTAGTAGTACTGATCATGTAATTAGGTGAGAATGCAGGGCTTGCTCGTGGAACTGAGCACAGGGTAAATACATAACCAAAATGAATTTTGTTTAGGGTCTTGTTTTGCTCTGTTTTAGAACTGGTACTCACAAGCCCATATGTTGTGCAAAGAACAGTCATGTCCTGTGACACTTAATTCAAATGCCAAGTCCTCTCCTTCCCTTTATTTACCAATTAGAAACTGAACTTTCTAGCTCCAAATACTGATGAAAACAACATTTGCTTGCTCCAGGATGTACTTAGCAGAAGCGAGCCCCGTTTGAAATGATCCACCGTATTTCCAAGGAGAGTTTAAAAATAAAACAAAGAAAAATCAAATCAGTCATTACTTCTTAGCCTGCCTGTGTCCAGCTAAACTGACCTGTAAGATAAAATACAACATGCAGCCAGATCGTGCTGCTGAAAAGGAACTGCAGATGCAAAACCAATAAATTGCAAGATAAAAGTGGTTTGTGACAGGAAACACAGGGGCTGCTAACCCCATCCGTTATGAGCCACAATCAAATGCACTATTGTCAAGTAAAACTGACAGCGATTAAGACTCCTAAATTCAGGTCTCATTTAGCTGGTGGAAGATATGCTGACAACTTCAGTGGTGACAGGATTAGACCATGATTTGTCTGTTTATTTCAGTTAAAAAGCTTCTCACAGTGCTCTTGCGGAACAAATGCGAAGAAGAAAAAGCTAGAGAAAGGCACAAATAGACACCATTTATCTAGCTGCTGAAAAAATACATGATGGGGATTGTAGTTGTATGTTTTAAGAGCAAATTGGCATAAAAATGTGCTAAGTGAGGTAGCAGCAGTATAAATGGTATCTCGTCCTGGCAACCATGTGTGCAAATGCCTCCGCCATACCTTTGAGACAATAAATACCAAACCAGAAACCACAGTGGGTTTTTTAGATCTCTGTGAGAATTGCTTCACCCTCAGTCACACGCCATTCGCATGTCACCGTGCCTTTCAAAAGCTTTGTTTCCTTAAGCTGAGGCTTTCTCAGAAGAGTCCGGGTTGAAGCACTTTTTATTATTATTTAGCAGGTACACTCAGATTAAGGCTTACTGCTGACTTTCTGAAAGAAAAGAGGTGTATCCTAGTTCTGTGCTCTGCTGTTTTACATGGTGATAATGCCATTACTCTGTCTAATTCAGAGCAACACCAGTGGCTGAGAGAGGACTTATAAACACTGTTTATCTGATTAATACATGGGAATAAATACTCTTTTTACTCCATAATCTGCATAATGTTTTGATCCAAGAACTAAGTAGTGTGAAAGAGAGAGGAACAAAGAGTATATGGTCAAGAGTTGGAGCAAAGGGCGGAGTAGAGCAAGAGCAGAGTTAGCAGCAGCAAGGTAAGAACGAATGAGAGCCCTTTTCCTTCATGGCTCTTTTGGGTGGCTGGATTTGGGTGTGCTTTATTTCATCTGTTATTTTAGCCTTGTCAGAAAGTTGAGCCATGCCTCAGAGTTCATTTAAACACTGGTGAGCAATGTAAGCAAGGCGTATCTTCACATATATAAAAACTAAGAGTAGCAAAGTATTTCTTCAGAACCACAAGAAATAAGAAGAGGTGTGCGAAAAAAAAATGTTTTCATAAGGCAGTCCCAAGAAGAGCAGATGTGGGAGTAGCTTCCTGCTTTAGGTTCTGAGTTGCCTGCATGCGTCTTCATGTACCCAAACTTCTAAGCAGGTATTTAGGCAAGAGCATGGGGCTATCCAGGTGCTGTCACTACACTGATCACCACAAAAGCTTTAAATTGCACAATTCCATCAGCTTTTTGAATGTGTGTGAAATGGTGTACCCTTCACTGAGCTCATGTTTGGTTTTTCAACTCCCAAGGTGTGTTGGCATGAGCTCCTATTTCTCTTACAAATAACTCCAGAAAAGAGGCTGACTATGCGACAGATGCTACCTGAGTTACATCAAGGATGAATAAATGTTGTACTACATCTCATGGTACAGTTTTTATCAGTGTGGGCACATATTTGTGTACCTCAAACAGCTCCAGGGTGAATGCAGTAGGTGACCCAACAGATGATAACTACCTGGCTTCTAATGGTGCCCTGCTTTTGATATCCCATCCTCTCCTTTCACAGGCCATTTAGTTTGGTTTTGTGTGTTCCCTGAGGGCAACTTTAAACCTTCAGCTTCATTTGCAATATTAGACATTTGGAAGAGGGCTTTTGTTATTTTAAATAAAAGTTCGCTGCCATGTGAGTACAGAGCCCATGTTCAAGGTGGAACACCTAATAGTCCTGATTATGTTCTGTTCATTAAATAGCATTAACGGAACCAGCTGTTCCAGGAGCTTTGTTTGTATTACCTACTTGTCTAATTGAATCACTAAGGGTGCTTGCATTGGTGTACGGGTTTGGTACCACTCTGTGGTAAAAGGGAATGAAATCCTATTCTTGCTGTGAAAACATGCTACAAACTTTAAACTAAGGTAAAAAAAAAAAAAATCATGTAGAGTTTCCTCAGAATAAGCTACTACCCTTTTCAAAACTGAATTTGTTAAATTGGACTTATTTCTTAGAAAAGTAGGGATATTGCTCAACCCTCAGTGACCACAGGAGCAGTTGCTGTCAGTTTAAGTGGAAAATATGCCTTGCTGGTACAAAGTACTCAGAAGGCTCTAGGTTAAAAAGCGTACAAGCAAAGGCAGGCATGCACAGACACAGACAGGCAGGTCCAGCACATGACCCTGGTGCCATCAGCCTCACAGTAGTCTGGAGTCAAGCTAATGCTCATTGTCTCTTTCTCTTACCCTAGAATAACCCCAGCAATAAATTGGTGAACACCAACAGTACCGTCACAGCAACACATATCAAGAAGTTCACTTTTGTTTGCATGGCATTGTCCTTAACGGTAAGAAACCTTTGTTCAACTCTCTGCCTTTCATCTCAACCAGAAAATTATCTCCTCTGCCTAATGCTAACAGCACTAGCAGTTCAAGAAAGGTGAGTTGTCATTTCTTATGAAACTCTGTTGATTTTATCTGGAGGAGGGAGTGTGGTCACAGTACTGGAGTACCAAGAAAATAAGCTGTCATTAGCTCAGGCTGCATATCTTAAAGGCTAGACTTATTTTATTTGATTCTCACTACTTTTCATTTCAAGTCAGCCTCCACACAAGGAGATATTGGAGATCTGCTTTTCTTTTGTTCTCTTTCTTTTTTTTAAATGATCAAAAACTCTGGTAACCAGCACGTCAGAAAAATGCAAAATCACATTTGTTGCATGTGCAGTGGGATGGCAGCCTGTCCCTGGACATCCTTCATCCACTGAGAACAGTGGTTCCCTGCTGCCTCGCTTGGCATGCCTTGATATCACTGCTGGGCAGGACTTATAGCCCCAGGGGACTGACATGGGGTCTGGGACCCTGGGCAGGGTTGGGGGAGCTCCAGAGGGTGGGCAGGACGGGCAATACCCTCAGGGCCTTCACAGCTTCTCTCCTCAGTACCTGCAGTAGCAGGACAAAAGCCAAGGAGAACCTAGAAAATAAGTTTCTCAGAGAAAAAGTCCCTCCTTGCAGTAGAAAAGTAAGTGGGAAATGCTGCAATTGTTCTAGGATACATCTGTTCAGAGGCCTAAAATTGAATCTGTTCATACCCCACACAGGTTTTCTCTTTATCCCCAGTGTTGTGTACTTTCCACAGAGTATCTGGATGCTTGATACGTTGTAACTCTCTTCTCCCCACATTCACAAATTTAATGGAGGGCTGACATAATTTCTCTTTCCCCTTCATTTTCCTGTAGAGCCTTTTGGACTGAGTTGCACATGGGCTGTGCATAAAGGGAGACTAATTTACGTCAAAGGAAACCTTACGGTTCACAAGCCTGAAGTATTTGTAACCATCCCCACACATGACCCTTGTCACAACCTGGGAAAGTGGGATACTGTACTCTGTCGTATTTTACAGTTGAAAATGAAGCAACTCAATCCACTCATAGCTGAGTTAGGAGATTTCTTCCACTCTTTATTTCCTGTTCTTTTTCCTTAAACAGCTACAACTGGCTACCATCAAAGGCAGAATTGCATGAGCCATTGTGGCATCTTTTCTGTCTATTAATTTCCTAGACTTAAGCTTGAACTCTTTTCATGTGGCTTAGTGACCAGCAGCTCTGGCTCTAATTTGTATTTCCTACAGCATGTAACGGAGGGAGATGTATGCCTCCACTGAATTGGCCATTGTCTGGAGACTTTCCTCAGCTCTCATGTAATCTACCATCACACACCCTGAGGTTTTCTCTTGTATGCTGTGCCAGGTCAAGGTTATGTTCTCTACAGCTGGAACCTCTCTTGAAATCTGTCAGTGTTGTTAGACACCCATGAAGGGGAAAGCTTTCCACTTTATAAATTGTGCTGAGAATAGTATTCCAATCTCAAAGCCTTCTCTGAACTGACTATTTTCTTGACTGTTCTGGACATCTGTCAGCTTTTTAATTACTGCAATAGGCTTTGTGGCTTTGCAGGATTTTTTTCCCAGAAGTTCTCCATAGTACTTTCAAGGATAGTTCTTTCATAAGCTCATCATGAGAGATTTGTCCGCACTGAAATTCCAGAAACACTTTTGAGGTCCATAGCTTTTCCTGTCCTGTTTCTATTTTTGCCTACTAGTGACAGATTCTTAGGATTGCTTGTCAGCAGACAGAGCAGAAAAATAGACACATGAGCTTTAAAGATTCAGGTTGGTTTGAGGGCTGAGCCTGAAAATGCTTCAGTGCAAGCTCAGTAGACATCGGTATGACTCAAGTTACCGTGTGCCACCAGTTCTAAGGAACTGGACTTCAAATTTGCTTCTGTCACAGCCAGGTCAGATAGCCACTGTAGCTGAGCTCCCATGGCTGTCTGTGATAGCTGAGGTTTTCAGGAGGGGCTCTACTGCAGTGAATGGCAGTTGGATTAGTGGCATCACACGTGGTAACATCTTGCTCTTTGGGATCAGCAGGAAAGTGGGAAACAGGTTCCTGGACTGACCAAGAGATCAAAACAAGTTACATACTTAGTCATGTGAATCCATTCTCCAGTAGATGATCTATAGAAGGATTCTGGAAGATGGGAAGATAAAGGAAGTCCATTAACTGCTGGAATAATAGTGAAACTTTTAGTATGAGCAGCAACCATGCAGGAAAGTACCCTCCCAATGTAAACCCCTGGGAAACCTCCCTGTCGTTGAAGACATGCTGTTTCATAGAGTTGGAAGAAGAATGTCCTACCTCCTTCTGCAGATCAGTCATGCCTGCACAAGTATGATAAACCTACTACTACAGCAGAAGCACTTTTTCACCCTTGTTGACAGTGGCAGTATTGGGTCAGAGCAGAAAAAAGACATAGTTCTGTTAAGAAACATAACTTTGGAGGGTTTTTTTAATCTTCATGGGATCTGAAAGACTGCACTTGAGCCTTCCCAGACTGACTGGGTTGCATGCAAACATGTTCTGCCAAGTGTGATCATAAATACTGTCTCATGGCTTTGAAGCATCAGGTGGGTGTTAAAGCTCCTTCTTCAAAAAATCGGAATAAGTTGTATAGCTTAGTGAAAAATGTGTAGACAAGCTGTTTTATTTAAAGACTGTAAATAGAAGCCATTAGATTCCCAATACATACAAGAGCTGATGTGATTAGTCATATTGATGTGGTTTTGATTGTAAGTGATGACTCCTTCCAGCAGCCCTGTTTTGTGGCTATGTAACTGAATGTAAAATTTGTATAGCAGAGAGAAGGGACTCAGCTGAAGAATTTTGCCCATACAATTGAGGGACTGGTTCTGATTTTAGAAAATAAGGCATGCGTGGTAGTTTACTGTCAGCTTAAGAAGTGTGCATAATGCTGCTTGCCATTGTTATTTCATTGCCACTAGGCACTTGAGGAAAGAATGCTTCCTATATATAAGTAGATATACTGCTCCAAACTCCAGTCTTGCTGCCTTTGCCAGCTAAGGCTGTTGAAGCACTAAGCATTTTGGTTCAATGCTAGACCTGTTTAGATGACCCTACAATTCAGCCCTGAGATCACTGCACTAAGTGAAGACAGACTCCCAAGAAAGAAAACTGGTGCATTTGTAGCACACATCCTTTTGGTTGTGGGATGTGTCAGCCTCCATACAGTGCAGAAATCCCAAAATAATTTGTCCAAGTGCTAAATTACTGCATTTATCCATTGCAGCAAAGGTTTGCTCTATCAGGGGTGAGCATTCTCTTATTTGTGAGCTGTGTGTAGAGGGGCAGGCTGTGTGAGGAGTGAGCTACATAAGGGAACCTTGCCTTGCTCAGCAGGAGTAACAGCAAATAGGGTGTTCTTCAGGAAGGGTTTTTCTTAGAATAGTGGGTAGTGTCTCTGAGCTCAGACACCACAGTGCAGAATTCAGGGGGTTTCCAAGGCAGCCTGTAGAGCACAGCAACCGCCAAATTCCCTTTCTCTTGCTTTCTTTCCTTTTCTCTCTTTTTCTCATTGTCTCCATTTCCCATTTGAGCTCTTCCTTAAGTCTTCTGTGATGACACAAAAGTTGCAGTCAGTTAAGATCCTTTTCCCTGGTTAATGTTAGCTGCGGGCAGCCGTGTGATTAGCATTCGGTCATCTGCCTCTGAGCTGCAAGGCTTTCCAGGCTGATTTCATGCTAGTGCCTGCTCTATGAAAGTGATGGGCAGAGACCTCCCTTGGGAGGGAGCCTTTACTTACAGCTGCTGCTGCCCACTCCACGTGAGGGTCACAGCCACGCCTTCATGCACACATCTGTGTGCAAACCTGCACAAGTCATTGAAGTTGCGTGCCCTGAGTTGAAAGCAGCAGTAGGGGATGTGGGACATCTTACTTTCTGAGGAGACTGACAATGGTGGCATCCGTTCACATCTTAGAGTCAGCTTGGAAGGTAAATGGTGTCTTACTTAACAAGAGCTGCAAGCGTCCTCATTTAAGTTGCTGTTATTGGGGTAAAAGCATGGCCAGCTCTGTGTGGCTGAAGCAAAATCACTGCATGAGGAGCATACAAGGTGCTGATCAGAGGAAGCAATTTCTCAAACATCACTGTGAAAGCTCCCCAGCTCACTGTCATTAAAAATTACCCAGAATAGTCTGTACTTACTTGTTGATTTATATCAGGGAAGGAGCAATCGGCTCTTACAGCAGTAGTTACGCTATTTGGTTCAGCTTCCTCTTTAAGTGGCCTCAGCTGGGACAGACCAAGGTGCTTTAGGGATACATTTCCAAACACCAGCTCTTGTTAGCTGCACCGTTCCTGTTAACTGAAGTGTCATCAAGACATGTGGTCTTTTATATCTTTATATTCTTGAGTGCTCATGCATTACAACAGGCTTTCCCTTACGAGTAAGACAGGCTCAAGGTGCCAAGGGTAACATGCTGTGCACACCATTCCATGTTCATCCATCTGTCACCAAGTTAATGTACAGCAGGAGAGCTGCACAGTACTCCTCAGTTTTAACATGTTCTATTAGAAACAGCTCAAAGCTCTTTCCAGAATTAAGTATAGCACCAGTGCTATTATTAAAGGAATTTCAGTGTTGCTTTTCGGCCTTTTTAAATGAACACGTAATTACAGACAAACAGGGAAAGTAGGAGCTTTCATGAATTAACAAACTGGTTAAGGGGAGAAGCTAATTGTGTAGAAAGTTATCTTATACTTAATTAGCAGACTCCACTTAAGAAACTAAATCCAGATGTTTGAGTCTGCCCTATAATTTTTCATTCCATTCTCTTCCAAAAGGAGCCTGAAAGAGTGGAGAGGAAGCTTTTCACATTTACGCCAGTATGTGTGTGTGGTCTATGCAAAGGTTACAGATTTCAGAGTTACATGTTACAAACCACAGACAAATCAGTATGTTTGTTGTTTTGTGTTTTTTTAAAGAAAC